TAGAGGTTGTAGCTAATAAACATTGCTGGACTGAATTTACATGGTCTCTTGGAGTTCCTTGGGCTAGGCCTGACAGGAGCAGAGAGTTGGAGTAGATGTTTTTTAAAGTCCTTTCCAACTCTATGATTCTATCCTGTTGTCCAGGTGTAACTTTGATCCCTGCACTCATCCTTATTTTTAAATTAGGACTGGACATTCTTTCAAATAGGGGGAAATTCAAATTGATGACCATCCTTTGTAAATTAGGACTCAGGGTCTTCAAGCATAAATTGATCGATACCATAAATTAATACTGGTCCAGGCTTACTAGAAGCTTCTGAGCACATGGCTGCATCTATATTGACTCTTTTTCTCCTTTACTCAACCTACTGTGACAGCTTCTTTCCATCCCATAAGGTCCAACAGGATGGGCATGTTCCAGATTCCATCAGTTAGAAATTGTAGTCTAGCAGGACTCAGGAAGCAGGCCTTTTTGGTTGCAGCGCTTGCCCTTTGGAACACCATACCACCTGCGATCAGATTGGTCCCGACCTGCTGGTCTTCGAGAAAACCTGGGCATGTTCCTAGGCATGGGAGGGTCAGGAGTTAGTTAAGCCTGTGGGGTTTTGTTAATTTATGGTTGACTGATGTTATCCTTGGTTGCCATTTTGTTTTCTGTTATATTTTTCCCTTTTACATTGTTGTTGGACTTGGAGTCTTTTAAGCTGTGTTAGTTGCCGGGAGTCGCTATTGCAAGATAGGCAACCATATAAATTGAAATAAATATAATACTTAAGCAACAGTATCAATGCATGCAACATTGGCATTATTAGTCAGATGCTGGGCCTCCAGGAAGGTTTACTAAATGGGCCTCTTTCTTAGAGTTCCAATAAATGCCAAATAGCTTGGAACTGTCATTTAAATGTTTTGCAGTGTCTCAGTTCATCACTGATGTGGTATTGCTGTTGGACATTTTGAGAAACAGAGATTCTGAGGTACCAAATGCTGACCAAAAGGCTGCAGTCACTACTGTTCATCTCCATCCCATTGCCAGGAATGCATATTGGTGAGAAACCAACAGTGGGTTTGATGATAGGTTGCATGTTGAATGTTGGTGGAAATAACTCAGAGAATCAAGAATGTAGCAGGAAGAGTAACTGGGTTCTATAGGTTCAAAAGCAGCTCACTGTCAACTGAACCCATTTATTTCCAGCTTAATGGTAGTATAATTCCCTTTGTTAAACATTATCTTTCTGTTTGCAGTGGTGAAGCTCAATACATCATGTGAGCAGTCCATTTCCTCATTGGAAGGAACTTTTGTCCACAGTTGCCTTGGGAAGTTCTTTAAAGGCGATGTAACAGGTAAAATCAGTCAGTTTCTCTCTTTCATTCCCCAGTAGCTTGGGGTGAGTAGCTCAGTTTGAAAAGTTCCTTGTTTGGTATGGTGAAGCATCTGATAAATTGGCCCTATGCTGAAAAAAGGGAACTCAAATTTGTTTTCCAGAATAGGGATAGAATCTTAATTGTACCATGCATCTCTTGGGAGAGCAATTAGCCTTTCTGCGGCTTAGACTGGTTCCTTACAAGGACATTCAAAGTTATAAAAGTTTTCTTTTTCACAGATTCAGTGATTTCTTCATTATATTAGTAGTTAACTGCAACAATGGTCTGTTATGTAATCCAATTCTTAGTTTTAGAGTATCCTTATAATGGAACCATTTTTCAGCTTGAACAATATTTACTGAAGAGTAGGTCCTATTCATTTTATGTCATTAAGATGGGGGAATAAATCATGCATATATTTGCAGAACTGCAAGAATGAGAATGAAAGAGAACAACAAAAAACTCTCCTGCGCCCAAATGATTAAGTCCTAGAGAGAAATGAACATGATGAGAAAGCTGAAATCTCCTTCAAGCCTTCTTCCTCTGGAATCTCCAAACACTCAGCAACTGGGAGTTACAACAACTTATTAGTCAGCATTTGTTCCTTGCAAAATAACGCTAACAAAGAAATACACAAGGAATTGCTTGCTTTTAGGCTTCCTTTTGTCTACTGCTACCACTCTTATTCTGTTTTCTAGGGAACTTTCTATTCTACATGAACATTTCAACACTTTAGCACCAAGCAAAGAAAATAAGATCTCACCCTATTATTTTCTCCAAAGTATCTTGCAATAATATGCATGTTTCCTCAAAAGTAAATCCCACTGTATTTAATGAGACTTAATCTGAAGTAATTGTCCACAAGACTGTAATTCTTATGTAGAAGTGGAAATGCAGAAATCAGTGCCAGCACAAAAAGTTATTTTGACCAGTGTTTTATATACATCTTTCTTCTATGTAGATTCCACCACACATAGTGACTAACTAGTATTCATAGGCAGATACTAGGGGAGTGTGAGTGGAAAACAATTCAAACTTAAATGCCTAAACAAGAACATTCAGGTGGGAACCCCTTTCCAGTCTTTTGTCACTATCAATTGGTGGCTGAGCCTCTGGAATTGGGCTGATGGAAGGTAAGAGTAACAGTTTACTTCAGGCAAGGAAGTCTGGTGGGGTAAGAGTTCCTGCCTCCAAGAACATAAGCTGCCAACAAACTCATTTCAGTCACTGAATTACAAACAACTTCCCAACTTTGCTGTATTTTCAAACTAGTACAAAGGTAGAAAAAAAGTTGATTAATTTCTCTAAATAATCCAGTGTCATGCAATCGGGCAGATCCAGAGTCATCTTTCAGCTGGCTCCAAAATCATTGCATGGAGGTTTCCTAGGTAACCATATGCTTCTAACACAGTGTTTTTCAAACTTGGCAACTTTAAGATGTGTGGACTTCAGCTCCCAGAATTCCCTAGTCAATGTGCTGCTGTTGTTTTGGTTGGGAGAGTAGAATTATCTTCTGCCACCTTTGTAAGATCATTTGTCCCCTAGAAAAGTGGGGAAAATATTAGAAATACTTGGGAAAAGCTACTGTGCATTTATTTATTTATTTA